CCGCTAAGTGAAGCGAGATGGCGAGCTGCAGCGTGGGAGTGAGACGGAGATAACAATAGTCGACAGCGTGGCGACGAGTGGGGTTGCGGAAGAAGGGAGTGCGACGTGCGGGGAAGCCCCGCCGGGCGCCATACTGCCGTCGTCCGTTCGTTCCGTACAGTACGCGCCCAGCGGTTAAGGCGGTTTTGTCGCGGTGTCGCTGTCGCCGCCGTTGTCGTCGTGCGGTCGTCGTTTCTTGCGTTTCTCGTTCGGTAGTGTATATCGCGCGTATATAATACATTTCTTATCTCCCTTTCACTCGTCGCGCGCGCCGACGCGTCGTCGTGCGCTCCGGAGCGTCGCCCGTCTCGCCCGGCATTTTTTTTTTCCCCTGTCCGGTTTCTACGGTGCGTTTCCGTACGGAGGATATACACGGAGGCGTGCGGAGGAGTCGCCGCCGGTGTCGCAAGCTCTTTCTTTAAACGGTAAGGACTCGCCGTACCCACCATCGTCGCCGTCGTCATCGTCGTCCCTGGCGGAACACCTGCGCACCGATACGAGGTGAGTGCGAGTACACCTGACGGCGACACACCGGTCGACCGTGCGAGCGAGTCGGAGAGGTGAGCGGAGTACGGCGGAGGTGCGTTAAGGTTAGGTGAAAGAGCCGGTTGCGCTCGCGGATCGGATTCCGCGACAGCAACAGTAGCGGCGAATCGCACGCGAGACCAGCGCGCGATTTTGTTGAGCGCGTCGTCGTAATGTACGCCCCTGGCGTCGCGTTGTGTCTCTTCCCGATGCGTCGCTCTTACTTTCGTTTCCGCCGACGCGCTACGAATTCTCTGTGTGGACGTGAAACGGGGAGGGACTCGGCAGATCCGCTCCCGCCGCAACAAAGAGAATTCCCAACGATCCCAACGACGCTTAGCGATTCGCTTAGCCGGAAGGTCTAGAGATCTACGATAGATAGGAGCGAGTAGAACGCTTAACGTTCTCAGGTAAATGAGCAAGAACTGCGAATCGAATCTAACATTCTTAGGTAAATACGCAAGAACTACGAATCGAATTGCCGTGAACTGACCGTCTCGGTGAGGCTTGTTACTCAATCCTCGTTATCTCGTGATTATCTGGCGATTATCGCAGTACTCGAAATCGGACTCCACTTTCGATTGTTGGTATCCGACCAAAACAACGTCAATCTCTGATCACGAGGTTCGATTGTGTTCGATTATTCAATCACGAATCACTCGTCCCTTCGTATTTGCTATTGTAATAAAAATACAGCGTGTTATCTTCAGATATGGGGAATAATGGTAGATGAAAATGTAACTGTAGATCGTTCTCCGAACAGCAGGGCTCTTTTAGGGTGCAGATGTTCCCCGCGTTTCGCCGAGGCTAATTTCGTCGACGGTGAATCTCGCGCGATCGAATGCGTGGGAAGACGGAGGGATCGGGGATGAGGAGAGGACAGCAGGGAGGGATTTCGCGGAACGGAGGACAGAAAGTGAGAGCTAGGTCGGAGAAGCGAATCGGGAGCGTTGGGTCGCTCAGGGCGAATCACGATGCTGCGGCAAGACGAAATGTTCTCCTCGTGCAAGGTGGAGCGGATCGAGGGAACTTCTTGCGTCGGAAGTTAACACACAAGTTTTGCCATCGGGACTCCTTTTTTTTTCCTTCTCTTCGAGGAGAAATTAAAAGCTGCAAGGGGGAAAAAGGCCGTTACACTTGACGCTGTTAACGAGTTTCTTCCTTACCGAATTAATTCGAGCCGGCTGATTTAATTCGAACTCCCTGGTGTATTGCTCGCGAATATACTTTTTAAAAGAAAAAAAAAGAGAGAGAGAGAGAGAGAGAGAAACATTATTTTTTATACGCCCTGGGATATTCTCTCCTCAAGTTCTAAATACATATATTTACATAGTATTGTCAAAATTAGAATGCTCGAAAATGAGTACAACAAAAATTGGCATTGAAAGGTTCATAAAATGTAAAAAGAAAAAATTTTTTCCTTTCTTTTTGCAATACTATGTAAATTTTTTTTCTATTTTTTTCTTTTTACATTTTGAAATTTCGACCTTTCAATGCCAATAGTTATAATAATGATAATGAAGTAATAACAAAATAGAGTGAGACACATAAATCTGAATATAAATAATATTAATGAGTGTATATTTACCTATTAAAAGTAAGGAATTTAAATACATAAGCAATCTAATTAGAAAGAGAGAGAGAGAGAGGGGGGGGAAGAGGGAGGAGGAAGATGATAAGATTACATGGGAAGCGTTAATATTTATTTTTGCGTGTATTACGCAAAAATGAATATGAAAATTAAGGCATTAACAGTGACCATCACTAGCTTCGGCGAACGTCCGTTAGTATTAATAACTGTTTAATTATTAAAACTTGGTGGCATCATATCTCCATTAGGGAAATATATGCGTGCATGCGCAGGATATCTCCCGCAATTTACAGCCGAATTATCCGCGATAAAAATGTCGACGTAGATTATTTATCGTGGCTTTCCACAAATTCCTAACGAAACCCACAAATTAACATTCCGTTGAAGTGAGTTTGCCCGAGATTGCTTTCGAAGAGGCGAGCGAGAGGATCTCGTTGCTATTCACCGGAACATCCCATCAAAAGGCATTTCTGAAGTTCGTAGAGGCCGTCTTACGTTTATACCTCATCGATGATGCATAGCTGCAGAACGTTCCCCGGCGTTTAGGGCAGGCGACACACGAGAGTCGGTCGCCCGTCTTACATTACGACCGTTTCCTCTCGCGCCCACTGCATAAATTTCGAGTTCTGGCTGCATTATGCATGCCGCGCGATGCACGAAATATTACCATAAGCGGTGGTGCACGCTGCCGTCGCCGACGCGCCTACAAAGACGAATCGTTTTTCCGCGCCGTTTTGCCACGTCGACGTTGCATGGAGCGAACGCATAAATTTTTTATCGCAGTCAAAAATTATGTCGACTCCGCCGACCAGAGGTTGCGCGTCCCAAGCGCGCTGGCGTCTGACCAGCGATTCTACGTCGTAGAATTCGTAGACAAAGTTATCGTAGAAGCATCGTTGCAACCGTCGATAGCACAGATATATAGTTCTCTCTGCTGTCCGAAAGTTTAAACACGCTTTACGACATTTCGCTCTCCGGACTTCGCCGCTCGGTGAGGAGATACCTGCGTGTATTTACGGTCCTCGAAGGTCCTTTGGGGATCCCCCGTATCTTCAGATTCGAAAAAAAAGGATGAAAAGTCGCGAGAAAGGACCGAGCCTAGAAATTTCTAGGAAGTCAATTGTGATGAAAAAAGAAGAAAGATGACCAGCTCGACCTGCTGATGTGAATGTGCTCCTCACGTTCCTTTTTCCGCACTGACCTGAACGATGAATCGAACTCTTTGTTTGGTCGAAGAAAGAAATCCGTTCGTTCGGTATCGAACTTTTTTCACGTGCGCCAATAGCGAGATCCGCGTGTCCTGCGATGTGACGAAGAACCTTCGTTGTATGTATATATATATATATATATATTTCCAAATCCATTATTCCTCCGTTTTCCCATGATCTCCCGATAACCGATTTTTATCGTCCGGTAAAACTTTCGCGGACATTCCTGTCGATCAAAGTGTCGAATCCGCGAAACCAACCGCGGATTCTGCTCCTGACACGTGCGATCGCAGATTCGCTTAAAATTGTGGAAGAATTATCGTAATATTATTTAAGGTTGTCATAAAACTAGAAATCAGAGAAATGGAAAACAGTCAGGAAAATCAGGGAAAAGTCGGAGAATTTTGTAAAATTTGCTGGAAAATTTACATTCTTGGCTTTAAAGAAATTTAATATATGTGCATCACACCTACGTAATTTTAGAATACTATCAACTTAACAATTAATTAACAAGCAGTATTAGCAACATCAATGGCTACGTTTACACCGTGCGCTTAGTCCGCGACCTATACGATAGGTGTCTTTGTTTAATATACAGAACAAACAAGGATATCTATCGTATAGGCCGCGGCCTAAATGCAATGACTAAGCGTTGGTTTCGTTGTAACTGCTGACAATTTTAAATGAGAAGTTATGGAATTTCAGGATGGGGATTTGTGACAGTCCTGTTACTCATATAGGAGCACATGATATCCAAAGATTATTGTTTTATTAATCTATAGAATTAACGTTGAGAAATTACCAATCAATTGTTTGCACGATTTATGTGCACGGACCGAAATAGTATCGTGTAATTTGATAATCTCGTACCCGCATGAAACGTCATCATTGATGTAGCTCTTTTACAGTACTATCAACCGATTCGCTCTAATGCCAGAGCCCTCTGCTACATTTTTCCTACGCGCCATTCACAATGAACGCTATCCCTGATCTGCTCCTTCGCTTAAATTCCGCGATAAGATAAAAGCCTTCTTTCTATCTTTTTCTCTCTCTATCTCTCTATTTATTACATCAAGCATGATTGTTCCTTCAAGCTTTAATCATATTGACTTATCGATTATCTCGTCAGCGAATCCTTTCGAAATAGCGTTTCTTGGCGCCGCATACATCGATAGGGAAATCTCGTTGAGACCGTTCAGTTTGCTCGAGGAAAATATCCCGAGGGGCACTTACGGAAATTTAACCGCTCGGCGAATTAATCGCTCCGTTCTGTGTCTTCGCGCGAGTCCGCCTCGTTAATTTCGATTTAACCGGGACGATTTTTCGCCTTCCGCGGAAAGGCCCTCCGGGCAATATTCTTATCTCTCGCACAATTAACATTAATGAAAAGCCAGCTCTCTCACGCTCGTTCATTAAGACTCATTAGAGGCATACTGACCTCACCCGTTCCTCCATGAGTTACATAGCGCGGATCCTCTTCATGCACGCTCCTTTTGATACGCACCATAATATATCATGTCAGATTGGAGGTCCGATCTATGGAAAGACATATATTCGAACATATATTCGTAGTGACGTGCTGCGAAGAATACCCACTACACGATGAGTTGAATGAGTTTGTAACAATCTTGTTCTGAATAGCACACGAGAAAAAAAATTTAGCTTTCACCAAAACTTTAGCTTAGACATTAACCAAATATTTTGTTTATACATGTAACAAAAATTTAAAATTGTTTCTGCGAAATACATTTTGTAACAAAAATACATATTTGTTTGAACTAAACAGTTTAGTTCGCATAAAATTACAGTTTTGTTTTATACGTTTTAAGCAAATATTTTCGTTCGATTATATTTTAACTGAATTTTTGTTGTTACTACAAACTTTTGGTTCATAGAACAAAACAGTTTTCCTAATGATATTAAAAAAAATTTGCTCGTTTATGATTATAATATTTTACCTAATTACATATACTTTCCTCGGATTAATACGAGGATGGACCAATTAATTAAAAACTCCGTTGCAGTATGTGTATAAAATATCACAACCTAGTTAGTGTATCTTGCGTAATGCAAACGTTGCGGAATATACGTTGCGGAATACACGAGCTAAGTAACTTCTTAAAAATGGCCCGTTTAATTCCGCGAAAAATTACTGCCTCTGTTCCGAAAACTTTCGT